ATCGGCGAAGAACGAAGGAAAGGGAAGCGTTTTAAAGGGATCGCTGCAAGTTTGAACGCACGACATGGATGGAGTTGTCTCGAAGAACTCCTTCGATGGGAATCCACGTCCCGTACGACTCTGCTTTCTTGGATTCCGTTCCCTTTCCGCCTCATTTCCATCATTATTATTCTATCTTATTGGTGTGCATATATATCCCTATAAATTAGTGATATCTATATTTAACCCTCGAATATATGTATAATGATAATTTGTTTCCAATCGGTCGACCACTAAGATGATAGTATTAAATTTTCAGTTGCACCAAAACATCAAAAACCCCTCTAAAATTAGTATACACATGAAAGAAATATCTTTGTTGAGATATCCAATTAATATATTATTGCATAAGTGATAGAAAATAGAATTCTTAAAAAATAAATTTATGAAAGTAATAAAAGATATTTAAGGTATTAAATATTTTATTTTTAAAAATCAGTGATGATCTTGATGACCAATAATTAGCTTAAATATTAACCTATTTATACGAAAGACTTAAATATTTGGATATATATGTAAATAATTTAAATTATTAGAGCGATGTATATGTATTTTCAAACTTTAAAATGATAGATATGGAAAAAATCTTCCTTGATAATGCCAATATCTTCTTAAGGTTTAGGTTTAAAAAACATCAAATTAATCTGAGCATTCAGAAATTTAAGTTATTATATTTTTATAAATTTATAAAAATTAATTTTTGAAACAAAGAAAGTGTCCAATACAAATTTCTAATTAGTCAATTGATAAAGATATTGGTTGTTTACAGTAAGATATTTAAAAAATTAGTAAATATAAATAGCAACGTATAAGCAATTGTGGGTGATAGATATTTTTAACGATAGGTGTTAGGAGAATATGCTGTTAACGTATTGATCAGTTCGATGTGATTCAGACCCATACATGTAGGATTGTCTAAGATATCTTCGAGATGGAAATGTTGAGCTCTTAGAGTGCCAATTACATAAAGATCACAGTCGAGAGAAATTTTTCGATCTGATCCCTCTTATGTTCAAAATTAGTAATTCGAGATATAAAAATATAAATGTGAGTTGTCCAATGAGAGCTCTCGATCATAATCTCTATGCAAGTGACATTTCAGGAGTTTAACATTCCCACCTCGGAAGTAGCTCAGATAATCCTGCATGGATCCGAACCACGTCAGACTAAATAGGACATCGATATATTCACCTAAGTAATTGGTAAAAAAAATCATGGAATTAACTTCTATCTCCATTAATTTATTTCTTCCTTGCGTATGTACACAAACAAGATCTTGGTAAGGGGCATTTGTACATATACTTGATTTCTAAGGCTGTAGGCATAATAGTAAACTACTTCGAGGAGGAGAATACACCGAATACATCTTTGGTAAGGGGTAGAAATGCAAAAATCACACTAGGAAGATCACAAAATTGATGTACTAATTATCATCAATGTTGGAAGGAATTGTTTGAGAATTCATGAAGATGTTAACAAGAAGTATTATTTTTTAATGCAAGGAATCATTTGCGTACATCATATGTCCTTTGCCACTATTATTTTGCTGATGCTTGCGTGACAATGAGACATGATTTAAGTTATAAGGTCTATGATGACTCATAAAAGATTCCTAACATCTTTTCTCACATACAAATCGAGTTAAATGTAAGAGGATCCAATTACATGGTGCAAGCCTGAATAAAAAAAAGGATATAAACGAAATTCAACTCTGATATCTCAGAAAACACAAAAAAATGACTGAGGAAAGAGCTTAAAATATGTTTCAGATAAGAGATTAGGTTACTGAAACATGATATTTTTAATATAATTAGTTGAAACATAGATTAATAATTTGTTGGGCAGCTAATGATTGCTTCGAGTTTGAAGGAGGTACGTCAAAATCCACACACAACAACGCACGAATGGGGGTAACTTTCACAAGCCACAGGTTGCGGAGGATGAGTTTGGTGGGTTGACGAGTCCATCACAAACCACAAAGACGAAGCACATGAATTGTCAGATGATGCTGTGGGGAAGTGAGTTTTGATGGGATGGATGTGATACAACGTTGGATGGCTCGAGTTCGGTAAAAGTAGAGTCAAAGCAAAAGACAGATTGGAGTTGTGTTGGTGTATAGATAAGGATAAGGTCGTCACCTTATAAACATGTCAGATGAACTCAATATATATAAGACAAATAATTATAGTGAGTATTCCTTGCTTGGTTCATTGCATCTTTACACTCCTCTGAATACTCCGCTATAGCGTGTACATAAAACCTTTCCTTGAGCCCGGACATCTTGGATAAACTCTTAAAAAAAAGTCTCTAGTTTTTTTTTTTTTTTCCAACGGAGCATCACATTATACTTTATTTTTATAAAATATTTTTTATTTCCTAAAAGATGATATTACTTTTTACTATCCGAATCTCTACTCATCGTAATATCTATCATACGTGTGTGATCCTCTAGGCTTAATATCGAGTTGGTCGTGAGTCAAACATGTTAGAACTCCTTATGACTCAGTAAATTATTATTTACATAATAATTCATTTGATTCATCGACTACGGATGTACTATGTCACTACGTCGTAGTCCCCAAATAATATAAAGAAATCCAATCCTTTGGATCTATTTGTCCTCGATCATCATGTACCTATAATCCCTCAATCATCTAATATCCTAGAGACCATATATCGGGCATGGTGCTGTCAGGCTCATACGATTTCTCCTCAAGTCTCACTTTAATCGGATTCTCTTGTAGAACTCTCACTCTCTCTCAATCCGAATAATCTTGGTCAAGGATTTGTCTAAGCAATAATACACAGGATATTTTTCTCATGATACCGAGAGCGAATGATCCTCTATCAACACTCAATAGCCCTTGTAATGTTGGCTGTCACTCCCAATAACTGGTTATACCATATTTGAAACTTCCAAACTTATAGATTCGATATCAAAGAGTGGAGTACTCATACAGGACATCCTTGGTGTCTCAAGTCTAAGGACCAGATACACTACTAGGACTGTGGAATCACTATATAACAGTAAGGTATCATTATCCATATAGCATTCCATAAGCAGATCAATCAGTGAACTTATTCTCCAATGAGCACCTGCATTGTATCCTTAGTGTCTCCACACAAGCAGCTAGGAATAATTGGATGGAGATCCAGTATCCAATATGCTAGGGTAATTGGATAGAAATCTAATGCCCGACAAAATCTATTAGGGTTAGTAAAGATGACTCTCTATAAAAGGGATATGGAACTAGAAGGGTTATAAGGCTGAACCCCTTTAGCTATCATCTCCCTGACCTCCCATTTTCTTCCTCTAGTGATTTGCCCCCTCTCTAGCATGAGAGGATAGCAAGAGAGCTGACCCTGTTTGTGTGGTGGTGCGTAAAATCAAGGAACGAAAGCTTTACACGAGAAGATACAGTGTCGCTTCATCCATCATGTGGATCACCGCTAGAGAGGAGCTTGCGAGAGCTCCTTCATTAACGAACTTGGATCTATAGTTTTGAGGATATACGATCTCTCCTAGGTGAGAGCGCCTCACAAATCTTATGTAGTTTTTGGTTTCATAAGTTTTTTACTCCTAATCATCGCATGAAGATCTTATATCATTCTTTGGTAAACCAGTTTTGTTTTCTATTTTTCGTTGTGCATGTGATGCTCTCCCAAGGTTTCCTAATAGGTTTGATAGCACCATGTCCGATAAGGAACTATAGATATACGATAATTGAGAGTAGATATATCCAATAGATTAAATCCCCCTATATTGTATAGAGACTATAGTGTAGTGGTCTAGTATGCTTATAGTCAATGGAGGAGGACAATCACTGAGAAGGGGGGGATGATCGCGAAAGAAGAATAGCAAGCAATGTGATCGTCGAGTTGTTCACCATGTAGAACAAATCTAGGACCTGTTGCTATAGCAAATAAGGAGAGGATGATTATTGTCTACCTTCAGTTACAAATAAGTGAGGAAAAATAATCACTGCCATTGGATTAGTGAGGAGAAGGAATCACTGTCTACAAGTAGAGAGGAACCATCATTTCCAAAGGAAACAATCACCAGAGTATTAGAGGCATGATGTAGTAGTTTCAAAGGAGTAGTAAAGGATGGAGATCTAATCTGATTTGATTATAGAGGGAGGGATACGATATAACGAGGGGGATTTGATTTAATAAGTGTAGAAGAAGGCGAATTTTTTCCTTCTTTGTTTACAAATCCCTTCACTCGGTCGCAACAAGTTGTAGAGGTGGCTGGTGATAGTGACAAATCAACATATGTGGATCGCAACCAAATTATAAGGTTGGTTGGTGATAGTGGTAGATCAGCGCGTGAGTCACTGGAGCGGTGAGCAGGTAGCAAATCAGCGAGGTGTCTCGGAATAGATCAACAATAGGAGACAACATATCATATTTGCAAAAGGGGTTCGTAGGCGTAAGAGACAAGTCAGATTTATGAGAAGAGCACCATGATCGCTGGAGCGAGGGGGGATGATCATCGAGAAGGAGGGATGATCGTCGAAGAAGGAGAACAGCGAGCACTGTGATCGTCGAGTAGTTCACCACGTAGAACAAATCTATGACCTGTCGCCAAAACAAATCTATGACCTGTCACCATGTAATGAGCTTATTCCGTCAGCTTTTACATACTTCCATCCGACGATAAAACTACTACGGCAATACAAGGAGACAGAACAAAAGTCAAAACACAATTTATTGAAGACTTTTTGTTACATGTCAGACATATTTTCCAACAACAATAAAAGCAATTTACTGTCACCGAGTTAGACAACAAAATAAGACACGTTAATTTTGATACCTTTGTGATCCAACGCATGAACAGTCAGAAACAGAGTACAGAAAAAGAGGATACCTCAAAATAGCTCCATAATTGCTTTACTATTCACAGCTGACTAAAATATTCTTCTCTAACCAGTAAGATCCACGACAATTTATTGGAAGTAGTTCCGCTATCAAATTCTGGGCTATACATCAAACTTATTTAGATAATTATGATACAGGGATATCATGCTGACCATAAAATATTAACACAATTAGTTCTGTTTATAATTTTTACCAACAGAATTAGCAATTTACAGTTGCTATCTGCTTCTGTATTTCTTTTTCCCAAAAGAATAGGAAAAATAAAAGTATGATGCCCATAGGGAGATGAAAGACCAAGAAAGTCTATCACAATAAAATCTCGGAGGTAAGCAATCTTCGGTGCAATCAGCCTTCGGTGAACTACTAAATGCTTGCAAAAGGGAAATCCAATCTGCAGTAGTATAAATGATCCTTTGCTTGGGTGAAGATAGAGTTGGCAAAAGTGTCTACCACACTGTAACTTCCTTGGCCACATTGAGCCTCGAAACTGTGTTTACTCGGTTCTTGGCAAGGAGTCCTGCCGTGTTAGCTCATAGGCAGGCTCTTGTTGCTCATTGCTTTCATTTGTCCGCATCGAGTAAAGGAAGAAGAAGGAAGAAGTGTATATGGTAATGTGCCAGAAGCTGCCAATTGAATGAAAAATCTCAAGTAAGAAGCATCTTGATAGTTTAGTCATTAGCACAATGTCAGTAGAAATGCCTTCATATAATGGACTAATAAATCTTCCCAACATATAAATAAGCCTCATTTTGGTTGGTAAAAATTCTTGTATGAAGGCTACTTGTAGATGCAGATCAGAGACACTAGCTCAGAATAAAGTAGATGCACAAATATGATCTGGTAGCAGAAACATATTTTCACAATGTCCCTGGCACAAGTACTGCCAGTGCAACATGATTCACTAGATTGTGATAACTATACATTCGAGTAATGAACATATCACATACCTGTGCCAAATCCAGTAGCTCTCATTGGCTTCTAGTGTCCGGCATGCTGCTGCCAAAGCTAATGTGAAGAAGCCCAAGAGTAAGTATAGCCAATGAAATCTTTTCTGGAGTGTTCTGATGAGATTCTGGAGCCAACTTCTCAAATTTTGCCATCTGTTACAATGCCAAAATGAGGCCAAAAAGCATCTAATTGATGACTGCTGAGATGCTAATTAGAAATTGCGATAATACTATAAAGTTCCATATTCACAGCCTTCAGAGTGAAGGGAAATCCATCAAGGACAATGGTGGAAACAATGTTAATTGTATTAAACCTATCATAGACAATGTGCTACTGATAACCAACTCATGCAGAAAGAATTTGCAAATATAGTGCTAAATGCATTATTCACAGAAAAGATTGTGAAAGTATACCTTTCAGGCATATTTAAGTCGAATCTCAATGGACAGTGAATGGCTCTGTGTACTGAGAACTCCAAAAACCATCCCAAGAGAAGACCAGCAGTCCCTATTGCTACAACTATAGCAATATTTGCTGACCTGACAATAAAACAACATCCATGCATAATAACCTCACTATAGTGTAAAATTTGAGGAACAAATCACTTGTTCAACACAAATACCTGGTTGCACCCGTTACAGCCAACAGAGCAGTGAGAATTGATATGCTAGTGTGAATTGCCCTCTTTGAAGCCTCATCAATGGTCGCCATGTAAATGAAAGTGCTCACCACAGCCATGAAAGAAAGCCAGAAGTCGAGAAACTATAATAAGAGATAGACCAATCCACATGAGCAGATATTTTTCACAATGCCAATATTCTAAACCAAGTCACTAGCAACAAGAACCACAAACAAATCTGTAACAGTTATTGGCTCTAAAATCTCTGTGCTTTGCATGACTAAGTCTTTTATCTTTGTAACAGCCACCTTTAGATTCTCAATTTTTTGTAGCTGTACATAGATATGCTTTGTTTCTTTGTTCGCATGAGAGATCAAATACCCTTTTGCCCGAAAATTTCACAATATTCGGATGGTTTTATATTGAGCTGACTCTGGAAATCAGGTAACATTCCTTCGGGATAGAACCAATTTTGGTTGTAGAATTAGTCAGACAATTGCAACTTTCATAGGAAATTCGATTGAAAAAGGTAAAACCAATGCTTATGCAAGTTTAAATAGAATAAATTGAAGAGAGTGTAAGAGAAGCAACATTCTCAGTGCAAGCAAAGGTGAAAATTCACTTTCTATAATAAAATTAAAAAAGGGATCTAGCTGTTAAACAGTTAAAGTATATTTTTGAAGATCACAAATTAATATTTTACCTTTTAAATAAGATTAGATAGAGTTTTAGGGATAAAGAATTCTTAGTTTAAAATGTTAAAATATATTTTGAAAGATTTCAAATTGATGTCTTATCTTTTAAATAAGATTAGATAGAGTTATAGATATTAGGAACTCTTGCATTTTGCATCTATAAATAGGTGGTATCTACATGTGTAAATCAGTCAAAGCCTCAAGTATTCAAGCCAATAGCACTAAAGTCTAAGAGTCGTTCAAGATCTCTAAATGTTTTTCCTTTTTAGAAGTTCAATAATTTTTTTCTTTTCCATCTTGGTTTCTTCTTCTTTTATTTGGTTCGATTTTGGGCTAGTAGTACATTGTTACTACTATTTGAGAAAGGGTTGTACTTGCATGTGATCCTCCCTTTCTTCACACTAGCAACCCACCATTTTCTGAAGGAAACAAATGGGTGACTTGGAAAGCATCATGATGCTTAATTGATTTCAACACTATGATAAAAAATGAAATAAAATGATAACAATTTGACTTTAGATTTGTTCCATTATGATGTGCAATTTTTGCACCTAAATACTATTATTCTCAAAGATCAGCAAACTTTTTTATGGCACCACCTTTGCTAAAGCAACCAGTCATATTGATAAATGGATCAGTTAATCATCCAGCTTCAGAAGCAATAGAAGTTAACAAAACCATTCTATACCATCTGCTTCTGACTAGGGATTGCAGGGCAGCATTATAAATCTGATGATATTGCCATCAAACTCAAAATAAGTTCAGCTCAGTTCCCCTTTAACAATATCAGACTAGGACAAAGTTTCTAATACAAATAGTGGTTCAAAGAGGAAATATTTCCACTATAAAGACTGATGTACAGGTGGACAAAGAAAGAATCTAACCTGTAATACATGGAAAGACAGTACACACCATGTGCCTCGATCACATGCATGATACAAACCGCTTGAAATTCCACTAGAAGTGAAGAGCACCCATTCAGCAAATGCCTGATTTGAACAGCTACATGGTTAACATAAAATTCTAAGCTATCTGCTTCAAGCAAAACTAGTAAAGAAGAACATCCACAATCGAACGCCAACAAGATATTCTTATAATTATGTCCTAATAAATTGGTGTGAGCAATGTCTCGTCATCATTAACTTTACAAAGAAAAAGCACCAATTAAATACATTTTAAGCACCATGCATTCCTAGGTTCAGCAAACAGAAGTTACAAATGAATTTTAACGATCATTACATGGGTTTAGACTAACGGAGAGAATTTGAAAGTTAATTAACAATTTTTTCATTTACGTAAAATTATTATTGAATCAGGATTTATAGTATTATTTTGGTAGGATTGTCATTATAAAATAGCATTTAGATATAATTCCAGCGAAAAATCATTCAATGTGTTTCTAGTTGTATCCATGACTGAATTCTTAATATTGAAAGATGTCCTAAAATCTTAATTTTCCAGAGACAGCCATATTGCCTATATTATAAGCAGATGCAAACATCCTGGGATAGATCCATTTATCCTTAAATTAATGTTAGCATGTTTGCAGACAGGTTAAGGTCAACTTAGCATACTATCTTGTCAGATGCTATTGAAATTCAATTATTGTTCTTACACATTTCTCTGCATTCAATTTAGGTTAACAGGGGTTTTCTTTGAGAAGACACATCGTCGATAATGGATAAACCTAAAGATGAGTGAGGAACTGGTGGTAGGTAGAGTAACTTGAAACTGTATTGTGACTGGAGCAACACAATCAGTGTATAACAGCAGGGGGAAAATGTAAAAGCAGTGTTCAAATGCAGATGATTCGTACTGAGAGAGAAGGCAGCAAAACCATGGAATCAAGCCTAGGTCAAGCTTAGCAAGGACAAATTTTGTCAACATTAGCAAGCAACATTAAGTCATTTTTTAAGACACTTAAGTTGAATCTTACCTGGAAACTTAAGGACAACATGAAGTAGATATCAGAGCAAATTTATGGAAGACATGTCCAAAACTGCATCAGCTAGGCTACTATAATTATCATGAAAAATAGTCATACTACGTACTAATTGAATGTATCTAGTATTTTCTAACATGATACAATGCATCTAGTACTTTGAACCAGATATCAGTGAATTTAGAATTCTTAGATGATTGAGAGATTGTATTTAGAAAACAAAAAAAGAATCTCATCTCCAGGACAATCTTGTAAAATTCTCAGTCAAGTAAAAAAAATTAAACTATTATGTGGCAATTCTGATATAGCAATGAGCACAAATCAACTTTTAAAATGATAAAGAAATTATGATTTATGATGATAGAGCATACTTTTTGTCGAAGTGCCCAGAATGCAGGTAATATAGCTGCTGCATTTGATGCAACAAGAAAGATCAACTGCCAAATATGTCCTGAAAATAAATAAATATATATCGAACAGAGACTTTATAACATCATAAGCAACCAAAAAATGGCAAGTGATATCATTTACAATATATACAAGGAGGAAAGATATTATCACATCAACCATGAACATAACAGAAATATTTTATAATTCTGTTCCAGATAAAATGAGTGGACAATGTAATCATTATATTACTGACATTACTCAATAATAATAGTGAATCAAGCAATGTATGTGTATCATTACTTTTGCTTAAATTTTAATTAGAAAATGAATTACAAAAAGAACAAATTGACCAAACCAGGCAACATTTGCCTTCAATATAATCTGTGTGGTACATAGAAAATGGTAAATAGTTTTGCTTAGCAATTGGACCTTGTTGTTAAGAGTACAAAACTACTTCTTGCATCAAAATATAACCATAAATCAAGTAGTTGTCTTTTTTCGTCTTTAGAAATGTGTTGGACTTCTAACACTTCTGTGGTTATTATGAATATATAGCTTTCTCGAAAATGTTATATATCAATAAACCATATTACCTGAAAAATGCAACATGAGAAGTATATCAAGGGAAATCTTAGCAACTGAAAAGAATTAACCATGAAAGTCTAATTTATGAGAGACGAGTTCCATGCTGAAAAAACATGTAACTTAATCAATAACAATATTCTGAATCAATAAGAGGACATAATGGGACTAGTAAAACTATTCCCAAAAAGATGAGGCAGCTAGCTATATGGAGGTCTTCCAAATAACAAGTTCATTTAGATAAAGTTCATTTGTCAACCGGATTAGTGTTCTCGTATCTTTAGAATGTAGTGAGATACCACTCAAAAGGGAAGAAAAAAAAAAGCAAGGAACATGGGTATAAATTTGACAACTTAGAGAACCCAGAAACTTCAAATTCAGCAAAGAAATATGACTCGTTTATCAAAATCAAGAACAATCATATTCATACAAGAAAAAGTAAACAATAAGTTCATACAAAAAATATGGACATTTTTTTAGGCATGGCAACAAGATGAAAAATATAGACATTTCAACATTATGAATGAGCCATGAAAATTTTTCCAGCCACATGCATAGTTGATGGAATCTGCATGAACATTAATGGAATCTTTGTAAAATAATTTGATAAATAGAAATGAAAAACAAAAAAGAAATTCAACAAGTATAATTTCACGTGACTGCTGCATGGGTAAGGAAATGCTTCAACATGAACTTAACATGATGTAACAAATTGCCGTGATCCAAAACCTGATCAATCCCTTAAACCAATTAGAGAAAATCTCATGATTAAGAGATTCTGAATCCCATATTTAAGGAATTTTATAATCCCATAAGTAAGGAAATCTAACCCCTATATTGGGCCACTCAATCAGTATCAAATCAGCCTATATTATAGAAAATTAATTAGAATCAAATATTATACATAATCAATTTTCTTAGTTGTACAGGTTGTAATCAACCTATATATGTCTTCTTTTATATACAGAAAAGATTAATGAATGAGAAAAATTATATTCTCTTGTATTTATGGTATCAGAGATTGATTCCTATAGGAATCATTTTTTCATCTTTCTTTTAGCCTTACTTGGTGAAAGTCTTTTCCTCTATTCTGCCACTCTCCATATCAGCCCCAACTACTTCTTCTTCCTTGTTTGTTTGTGAGGAACCTACGCTACTATGTCCGAAGGAGAGAAGACAAAACCAAGGCTTCTATCTTTAACAAACAGCTTAGGTGGCAATCCATCCTTACTGATTACAATGCATAAACTCAACGGACAAAACTTTCTTCATTGGTCTTAGTCCGTAAAGTTGTATATTCGAGGAAGAGGAAAGATCGGATATTTGACTGGATCAACAACGGCACTTGTAGAGAATGATCCCAAGTTCGAAGTATGGGATTCTAAAAATTCCATGATCATATCATGGTTGATAAACTATATGGAACCAGAAATTGGTCAAACATATATGTTTTTACCAACAGCAAAAGAGTTATGGGATGTTGTGGTCACTCAAGACATATTCAGATATAAGAAATTCAGCTCAAGTATTTAAGATTACAAACGAGATCAGAGAGCTTAAACAAAGTTTAAACAAAGAACTAGATGAAGTTCATGGATGGATATTGGGGAAAGATTCATTGCCATCTCTCCAAGCTATATTCTCCAAAGTTAGAAGGAAAGTAGAAGACTAAGTCATGATGGAATCTTTCATTTCATCCATGGTTGTAGAAAATTATGCACTTATTATGATGGTTGAAATTAATTCTTCTGCTAATGTTGTGAAATGTAATCAAAGGAAAGAAGATGATAAAGGGAAAGTATGGTGTAATTTTTACAATGAACCAAGACACAGAAGAGAAGCTTGCTGAAAGATATATGGAAAACCAGCAAATTGGAAGAACAATCAAGTTCTAAATAAGGCTAATAGCCAAGGACTTCAAGTACACAATCAATCTGCCACCACCTCTAAACGACCCAAAAAGCCTTTGTTCAGCAAGGAACAAATTGATCAACTATTTAAGTTTCTGAACCAGTCCCAAAATCCTAATCCTTCTCCTTCATTATCTTGCTCTTTGGCCAAGAAAGGTAATTGTTTCACAGCTTTATCTGCTTCTTTTGGTCTTAGGGCTCTTTGGATCATAGATACAGGTGCAATAGGCCATATGACTAGCCCTTCACACTTGTTTTTCTCCTACACACCTTGTCCTGGAAACTCTAAAATAAAAGTTATTGATGGATTACTTTCTTCTGTAGCAGGAAAAGGCACAATTGCAATTTCAGATTCCTTTGTATTAAATTATATGCTTCATGTTCCTAATTTGTCTTGTAACTTATTATCCATTAGCAAACTCACAAAGGATTTGCATTGTGTTGCTAAATTCTTTCCTTCTCACTATAAATTTCAAGACAATATTTGAGGAAGACGATTGACAGTGCTAAAGAGAGTGAAGGACTTTATTATCTTGAAGAGGACGCTACTTGGACTAGACATGCTTAGTTGACAATAAATATTAACACTCCTACTAGTAATAAAATAATGTTATGGCACTAGAGACTAGGTCACCCAAGCTTTCCTTATTTGCAAAAGTTTTACCTTCATTGTTCGAAAACAATAATAGTTCTCGATTTCAATGTGAAATTTGTCGATTTGCTAAACACCATCTCACTATTTTTCCTTTTCGGCCTTACAAAGAATCCAAACCATTTAGTCTTATACATAGTGACATTTGGGGTCTTTTTAAAGTGACAAATCTGTCTGGAATCAAGTTGTTTATAACATTTATTGATAACCATACAAGAGTATATTGGGTTTACCTCTTAAAAGACAAATCCAATGCTGAAAAAACTTTCAAGAACTTTCATACCATGATCCAAAATCAATTCCAAGCAAAAAATACAAGTTTTTAGAACTTACAATGGTAGAGAATACTTTAGTGTCATTCTCAGTTCCTACTTGTTAGAGTATAGAATAATTGACCAATCTTCATGTGTTGATAGCCCCTAACAAAATGGTATTGCAGAACGAAAACATAGACACCTACTTAAAGTAGCACACTCTCTTTTATTTACCACTTATGTTCCTAAATATCTTTAGAGATATATCATTTTTACTGTTTCATATTTGATTAATCAAATGCCTATCAGAATATTTAATTTTCAAACATCTCTTGATCGTTTATCCTCCATTTATCCACATGTGAAATTGTTTAACTCTCTTCCATCAAAGGTATTTGGGTGCATTGCTTTTGTCCATATTCATAAGAATCATAACCATCACGTGAAACTATTTAACTTGAATCTCATGCATTAAAGTGTGTGTTCATTGGCTAATCCTCGACTTAAAAGGGTTACAAATGTTATGATGCTATATAAAAAAAAATGTCACTATGGATGTCACATTCTTTAAAAATCAAACATATTTCCAGCAAATTCATCTTCAAGGAAAGAATTCTACCTAAGAAAATTGTTTTTTAGAACTATCTCTAGCAATCACTATTTCCTTGTCAGATTCATCTCATACTTTCACTCTACCAGACCTACCTAGCCAACAACTAAATAGTCCTATTGATACTCCTGAATCCAAATCTCCAACACCACAACCCAAATCTCCAATGCCACAACATGTTATTGGATAGTCTAGTTCTAGGGGAGATAGCACTATAATTGCACTTGAGCTTCATGTGTATTCAAGACAGTGAAATCTAGAAAAAGTCAATGTTCACCCTCCTGAGTACTACTAAGAGTCTGAAGATAACAGATCCAGACATAGACACAGGTAACTTTATTCCTTACTCAGATCTTGATGTTCTCAACTTCTCATTGTCATTAGAAAAGGAATTAGATCTTATACGATATATAAATAATTTCTAAATATGTGTCCTGTCATAGATTATCTCCAACCTTTAACGCTTTTACAACTCATTTGTCCAGTTTAGAAATTCCAAAAAACATATAGGATGCTCTATTAATTCCATAATGGAGAGAAGCCCATATTATAGAAAAGGAATTAAAATAAAATATTGTACAAAATCAATTTCCTTAGTTGTATACAAAAAAGATTAATGAATGAGAAAAATTATATTCTCTTATGTTCACCAACATAGTCCGTTAACTATCATTTTGCTCATCCTAAGCCTAGAAATCTAGGCAAAAGCCACTTATCTAAACAGTCCACTTTATTTGCCAGTTTGACCAGCTCAAAGAAACAATAAAGGGCATCTATCACTTCCTTTTCTCGTTGTTGCTTCTAGGTGTCAAGCATCGTGCATTAAATCCTCCTAAATGTTAAGCCTAAAAACAATCTCTAAACTCTCCTTTCCCTTTAATTCCATTCCCTCTCTAATCCCCTCCACTTCCCGCACCATACCTCACCTTTTCTCTCCAAGGCCATCCTTCCACCTCTCCCCTTCCAAGTACATAGATCATTTCTCTCCTACTTTTCCATTTTTTGTGATCATTTGGCATTCCTTAATTCTTTTTATTGGTTGACCTGCACTTAAAAGGTCACTCATGACCCAGCTAAAGGTTCGTATGGATTTCAGAATAATTGATATAAAGCAAGATTACCTTTATGTGTAACAAGTTCATTGCTGCAATCAAAACCTCCATGGTCACGATCACATGCACAATAGCTGGAAGGAGAAAAAGAACACTAACTATGAGAAATAAGACTACAGTGGAATCATAATAAATTCTAAGAACTTAGACGAAATCAAGAAAACGTAAAAATTGATGGTGAATTCAAGTATAACAAATTTTGTGAAACAAATGGAATAACCTGTAGAATGTCAACCCGCTTTCATCGATAGAATTGCGACATGCCCCATGATGACTACAGTGATTGGGGCATCCCTCAAGCCAAATGGACATGGTAGTCTGATATTTGTTATTAGCGTTCAAAGGATGCTCTAATCCAATGCACCAAGTTCCTTCTCTAGCAGACAAAACATAAAAATCTATGTTTTTTCCGCTTGAATCGTCTGATGCCAAAAACATGGAATCATTGCTTCTGCTTGTGCTATTTGCAAAGTAATCCCAATTATCCATGGTTAGTAAACCACTGAATTTTGTGTATACTCCATAATTTAACTTTGTATCTGAAGATAATCGAACATGCATATTAGCTCCTGCTGCACCAGTAGGGATATCGAAAAAGAAATAAGTCCATGCAGTTTGCTCAACAGAAGAATTGCTCAAAAGATTATCCAAAGAGAAACCAGCATCTGTGGACCCAAGTTCACTAACTGGGAGATAATAAGATGCAAAAGGAACGGCTGAATTTTTGGAAGCTCTCTGCAGGAAGACATTTTCAGAAGGTTCATGAAGCTTTATAACGAAATTTACCAGGCTTAAAAACAATAAACCAGAAAAGTTTGCCATATATGTCTTTCCAGCTATTACTTGATGTTTATAATGTTGAAGCAAGTTTTAACATCTCTAGCATATATAATTAGATGTCATATAGTATTACCACAAGAAATAAAACAGTCATATTAGACAAAACGAATTCAACCGGATTATGTAATTACAGTAAATTCGTACAAACCACTTTAAGCATGATACAACATAAAAAATGATAATATCCTTTGCACTAATGAAAATGAACTCCAACCAGACAGATCAGACAAATTATCGACAGATATGGCAAAATAAGCTTTGCACATAGAACAAACCAAAAAATAAAAACAAGATACATGATATAAGCAATTGTGCACTTGCTTAATTCCATAATATCATAAACTTAAATTTCAGCACAGTGCCACATATAAGAATATAAATGTTATAAGGGAGTAGATAACCGTGGATGAGTTCTGGTACAATAGAGAGATAGCTCTGTGATTATGGTTCAAGTCATAAGAATAGTCTACAAAAGGAACTCCTCTTTATCCCCTTGATTTTAAGAGACTTGCATAATTTATAGTATATACTGCCATACCATCCAGCCTTGTCCTGTCCTTAGCTAAAAATTGCCTAAAGCGTGCAATCCACAAAGGACCTTCACACAGAAAACCCTACAATAACATGTCATCGCACACGAAAAGGACAAGTTAACCAGGATTGCAAGCAACACAAAACAGCTAACTTATTAGGCACAAAAGGTTCCTGCAAACAAACCAAACAGTAATGGTCACACACGAGGGGGCTCAATGTTCACTTAATACTTTCATTGAACAAAAAGTGGACACACTAAAAATGTTGCACCATCCTTAGACATATAACCAAGGTCCCATCCAGCCTGGTGCTACCCAAGGTTCTAGGATGTTGAGACAGCTAACATTTCATTGATCAGGGACAATCTCAATACTATTCAGCCCTGTTTGGACAAGCAAAGCCCAAGCCTAAGAAACAGCAGCCCTCTCACCACAATCCAAGTCCTAATAGGACTTGGATTAGGGCAGCCACCAAGCAAGAAGGGTGCGGCAGCCCTACAAGGGAATTCTAGGTGTTGCACCCCACAAGACCCTGAAAAAGAGAATCCTAATTGTTGCACCCCACAAGGAAAGTCCTTAAACCTTAAGGACTTAGGGCACCCCTCACCCTATAAAACAAGGGGTGCATCCCCATCAAAAACGAACCAAGGAAGCCTTTAGCAAAGAGCCAGCCAGCCCTAGTTTTGCAGCCTCAGAGCAGCGAGGAGAAGAGAGGGAAGAATTCTGTGCCGCTATAGCCAACTTCTTCCAGTTGCAGCCTTCTTTCTCACATTCCAACAGCCTAAAGCTCTGCCCCAAAACTTTGTCTAGCTGTTGCAAGAAGTCTTCAACACCTACTACCTATTGTTCAAACCTCTAGAGGAGGTTCCAGCAGTGAAGAGAGGAGGAGATCGAGAACCGACTGCAACCACAACCTGTCGAGAGCACCGACGTGCTATCCAAAGACAACCTGCGTTTTCACGCACCCATGAACTTTCTATCATGCTTTTAATTCCATTGTTTTAAGTCTTGTAGTTAGCATTTTAGTTTTACAAGCAATAGAGACTGTTTTCTTTTCGTTTTTACACTTGGCCTTTTTGCAATAGTTCTCTCCTCCATCAAAACTTTCATCCGTAAGGTGGTTTCGAGTTGATGGATCATCGAACCCAAACCCTATATGGATTATTCATGTCGAAGGCCACCCATTAAAAATCAAACCATGGCATACGAAAACAGGACTGTTACGGCTATTTTCCCAATATGCAATGTCACATAGCCATAAACATTTCTAACTTTTACAACACAAAAACAGAAAAACAAAAACACTTCCATGAAAGGAAAATGGGACAGATAGTATTCAAGAAGTCAAAGTCATAAAATGATCTCCAAAAAGAAGATTCAATTGACAGCTTCGTGGATGAGTGGTCTTGCTTACTATACTTCGTGCCCTGTGCAATCTTCCTACAAGAAAATACCCGAAAACACCAAAAGCAACACTCAACGATGACATAAAAGCATCATGTACATGCGTCGAACACCTTGACTACATCACTCCATGACATTCTCCCTTGTTTATTCCTTCGACGCCCTCGTCGAAGCCTTCACGAACGCCACAACTCGATCATCTTCCACTGTAACATGCTTCTCAGCTTTTACTGTTGAGATGTCAAATTCGATATGTTTACTTTGTTGCAACTTGTCACAGGGTTGGTTTAGCTAGGGTGGTTGGCTGAGTTGGAACACTTCATGTTGAATCCTCTAGATTGATTGTTTGACAAGAGAAGAGGTTTGGCCTTTGCATTTAAACCCCTTTGAAGTGTCACCTTGCAAGAGCTTGAAAGTTGCTGGTTGGAGCTGCACCAATACCATATCATAAAACTTGAAGAATCTGTAGCCTTCTCGCATGAAGTTTACCCCTCGCATCTTTAGATCCTTCATCTCCTCCAAGTACATCTGCACTATCCCTATTTTTTTAGGTAACTTGATGTGTGGATAGTGCACGAACATACTAACTTCAACATAGCCGAATAACCAGAGGTGAGGAGTTGATGGTTATTGACTTTTAAGCACTTTGAAGAGACTTCCAATTGATGTAGAGCTCCATTGCATAGGTGAGAAATATTGGCTTAATTCGATTGGCTTCACCAAATTCCTCACATTGTGCTCCAAGCTAGTTACTTAACTTTACCCACTCTTTGCCATTGCATTTCTGTTGTACTAGAAGTGTAACACCCCGATTTAGTCTCACATCAGAAGTGGGTCAAGACTAAGATCGACTTATAAGAGCTTGATGGTTGTACTACTGATAACTTCAGCTTAAGCATTTTGAGACAATAGTTAATAGTCAACGAAGTTAACAAGCCAGTTATCCCATCAAGGCAGACTATAATAATTGATATCAAAGCCGACCTAATATTAGAGTAGTGAGAGGCGAGTAGGAAAGGACTACCTATGGATAGGGCCAAAGGGCATGTCATAGTATGGAGCCAACACTAGGCTAAGTCTCACATGCACCATACTAAGGTTTGATTCTAGGTTATGTTAGGCCTTGATGACAATGACAACAAGTCCTTAAGTGGGGGGTTATAACATCTTGTTTTAGCCCCACATTGGAAGTGGGCTAAGAATAAGATCGATTTATAAAGATTTGATGAGTATATTTTTGTTAACTTCAGCTTAAGCATCTTCGAAGACATCCGATAAAATTAAAACGACAAAGAGAAGATTAGTATGGCCCTTGCGCAAGGATGGCATGCACAAATCAAGAAATGCTCCAAATTTCTGTCACAACCCGACGGATAACTAACCTATTAGCTTCGTTGAACTTGAAACACTAGTCCAAAATACTTAAGTTGAAGTTAACAGTATGACACCCATCGAACCATTAGAAATCAATCTTAATCTTAACTTATTTCTGACATGGACTAAACCAAGGTGTTATAGTCTCCCCTACTTAAGGACTTGATGTCCACGTCAAGCTTAGTGCATTTAAGACATATCCCAATGGTGGCTCCACAACAATGTGTCCTTTGACCTTGTCCATAGGTAACCCTTTCCTACTCGAGTCCCTCACCATGCCCCAATACTAGGTCACCTCTAATACCAATTGTCACAACCTAGCTTGATGGGATAATCAACCTGTTAACTTTGTTGAGCTTGAACCACTAGCTCAAAACACTTAAGCTAAAATTAACAAGAAGACACCCATTAGACCATTAGAAGTCAATCTTAGTCTTAGCCCACCTCCGATGTGGGACTAAATCATAGTGTTACAATAAGTATTACTCTAACCAAAGCTTGATTTCGCCCTTGTAGTTTTAGTCATGCATTTGGGATCAGCCACACCGCATTTATGGCCACAACTATGCTCTCTTCTCAAGAGCATAAGTTTAGTCAATGCTCGGAAGACCTATTGTTGTGATACCAAAACACAAGTTTGGTCAATGCTCAAAAGACTTATTGTTGTAATACCATATCGCATCCTTATACTATGTCGCATCCTTTGATGTTCATGGCCTTCAGTCTGACACTTTCTCAATTGAATTCTTTTTGGTTAGTTAAGTCCCTCTGGACTCGAGATCATCATAATGCTTGCCTCTATTGATCAACTGCTTCTGCACATCATGTTACCAACGAAGCATTTCTCGGATGTGACTTAGTAAGCATTTTCTATCTAATCTTCTATTAATCAAACGGTAACTTTTTCATGTGGCCACAACCATCCACTTGTTCCAGGTACCAACTCTAATTCTCTATTTTTTTTTAACCGTTTACTTAGCATTCGTAAGCTCGGTCTTATACATCGAAAGCACCAATATACTTTTGACAAAAGATAAGCACCGGAACAATTTAGCATCCAGTAGACCGAAGATTCTCGGTCTAGAAATAATGTCAAATGTGGATGGTCAATTGAATCTTTGATTCCTTCACTTAGTTTGAACTTTCATTCCACCTTACATCATCCTCATGAAAAGGGCTTTAGCGACTGAGTTATTGGTACACCAGCATATTCTGCAAGAGTATCGGTTTTGATGAACCTTTGCTTCATATTAAGGTCATTTAACTCTAATTGCATTGTTATGAGATAGTTATAAGGTCCTTCGAAGCTCTTTTTGAAAGTGGCACTACGCATGGAATCACAATCCAAAAGAATTCAGGAATGGTATGGGTACTGCTTTTGCCTCATGTAAAAACTCCATCCCAAGAACAACCTATAAATTGTCCAAGGGAAGCGCCATAAAGTTAGTGCTCCCACTCCAATCTTCGATCTACATGCCAACTCCCTTTGCCAATCTGGAAATAGGGTCTACCTCTAAATCAGTGATTTCAATAGGCGCTCAAGCGAGGCGAGGCGAGGCTCGAGCACCTCGCTTCATTTCCAAGTAGCGCGCTTCAAAGAGGCACCGCCTGGGCACTCGCCCGTGCCCAAGCGACGGGCGCTTCGGGCGAGCGCCCAAGTTAAACCAGGCGACCGAACCAGCGTTTTAGGTCTGGTTCGATCTCTGGCGCTTTAGTTGGTTCAATCGAACCAACTAAAGCACCGATATTAACCTTCCTCTCGCTGCTCCCGCTCTCGCTGTAGCTGCTACCGCTGTCGCTGCTACTGTCGCTGCCACTATCGCTGCTCGCTGCTACTGTCGCCGCTCGTCGCTCCCGCTGCTCACTGCTACCGCTGCCACTGTCGTCGCTCGCCGCTCCCGCTCCCGCTCCTGCTGCTGCTTCTCGCTACTACCGCTGTCGCTGCCACTATCGTCGCTCGCCGCTCCCGCTGCTCGTTGCTACCGCAACCACTGTCGTCGCTCGTTACTCCCGCTGCCACTGCTCTTAGTCAGCAGCCTCGATCTTCCTCTTACTCACACTCTTCTCACTTCATATACTATTAACAGTATATTAATATTATACTACTAACCGTATACTAGTAACAATATTTTTATTTATTAGATTAATAATATATTATTTTGATTTTAATACTATTAATTTTTATTTATTTGAAATTATTGTTATTGTTTTTAATTGAGACTTTTTGTTAATGTAATATTGTAATTTTACAAGATTTTCTTAATTATCATATTTTTATTTAAATAATTATATTTATTAATTATATTATATATTTTTATATTTTAGCGCCTCGTTTCGCTCGGGCGAGCGCCTAGCGCCTCGAGCGTTTTTGGACCTTGGCGCCTAGCGCTTTTTAAATCACTGTTCCAAATTGAGTGCCTTCATGTGGCTCGGACTCTTTACCAACTTCAATTTGAATCGTTTTGTCTCTTGATTGGCTATAAATTTATGTGTGGCTCTTATATCTATTAATATGAAAGTTGCCTTTTCATTAAGTCTAATGTCCATGATCATCAACAAGTTGTCATATGCTTACACCCCTTTCAGTGTTGCTTATAACCGATCCCCAACTTGACCTTGTATTACATTTAGTAGTTACGCCACCCCAAAATAGCCAGGTGTAAGTTTGTCAACCACTACCTTATGCAAACAAAAGAAAGTTAGCGTGAGAAAACTTATCACGCATATCAACAGAGAAAATAAAGTAAATCCACATGTTTTTTCTCTTTTTTAACTTGCACAAATTTTTCTATCCTATACCCAGTTGCAAGATATAGTAACAAAATAAAGATATAAATTGCGGATAAAATAGGGAGCACAAAAGCTTATAATTGTCTTCATCCTTTTCCTGATTTCTCCAAAAATTTAGCATCCTTAACATTAAGGACGATGATTCTTCTCTTAGTAAATATTTCAATTTCCAAGACCTTTGTGAACTTGCAGTCAACAATGATTTTACTGGATTAAATATGGCTATTAGGCTATTAGCAAATGCACCTCAAAGAAAAATGTAGCTCATATATCCAGATGGAGACTCGCACTTGTGAAGTGGCAAACTAGAGCACTATTCAGAAATTCCAGCAGAAAAAGGAAACAAATAGTAACCATAATCCTACCTGAAGTGTATGCGCTTCCCATGTACAGTTGAACCCAGCCTTTCCACTACTGCACTCAGGCACTTGCAACATAAAGGAAAAACACAGACTTCCATTCAAAAATGTTTCTTGCATTGTTCCACTTGCTTCTGTCTGGTTAACAGCTTGAAAGGCAATATACCATCGTCCAACTTTTGGTGAATTGACAATTAAAGGGGCCCTACTTATATCCGTAGAATAATCATGTAAAGACTTGAGTGGCATTGCATTGTAGCGAGCATAAGACATCAGTAGAATTTCACTAAAATTTCCTAGGTTTTCTGTTGAAGATGTTTGATTAAACCTCAAATCAGTAAGAGAAACAACAAACTGGGATGTTATAGAGACTATGTCCACAGCATATATATTCAACTCCCCATTTCTGAGACATGACAATTCAATTGTATTGTTGCATGTCATGAGATTTTCGGCGGTGACAAACATGCTAGCATTGTTATCTACTTGTTTATATTTCATAGTCATCCATTTGGATGACAAATGATAATTAGCTTCCTTATCTTCTCCAGCTTGAGCCATATGGTTTAAACTTCCCCAGCTGTACATGTTTAAATCTAATAGTTTCCTGGAGTGCTTGTCTATGGAAGATTGAAAACAAGGAATCATATTAACTGACTGGTTACAGTAAGGGCCCCATACACCCATGGTGGAACATCCTTCAATGACAATGCTGATACTGAATATGTATGCTTTTCCTCGGTTAATCTGCAACATTGCACATATAGCTTTAAACGAGTATTTATATAATAAGATAAAATAAAAATATAAAGCTGAATTGTCAATGCACCTAGTGCATAATACACTCATTTTATAATTTATAGAGCATACCATTTTTGACTGTGTGCGAGCAGGTCCAAGTCCATTGAAGAACCCAAAGTACCATATTCCAGGAGATATCTGGAGAACATAGTCTTTTAGCAGAGCATTCCAACTTTTTATAGAGAAGTAAACTGAGACCAAGTCATGAAAGAAACCACAGCCAGATTCTCAAGTCTTCTCAATAAATTTAGAAGTAACTATTGATTGTCATTGACATGACAAAAAACACAGTTTAATCTTGGAGAGAACTGAATTCACATGTACAAGTTTAAGATCAGTATATCAAGCCACATCTACACAGAATGTGACTGAGGTACAAAACCTGTAGAGAAGAAAATATGGCATATCAAAACCATTATGTTAGGGTCTAATTGTTTAGTCCAGACACTAAACATTTGGTAATCAAACTAGAAGAAAACAAAATATTGTTCTTTCTAAAAGGCAAAAAAACGAACAGGTCTTCTTTTGTTAAATGACATGAACCGAAGAGAAGTGCCTACAGTATCACTGATGTGTGACAGCTAATGGCTAGCCAAACCAACCAAACACCATAAGGTGTTTTCCCCACTGGAATATTGAAATCAATAACCTCGAGTCCTAATTATCTACAGTGAATTGAATACTCTAGTTTGGTCTCAACAATTACTCTTTACCTGGCGTTTGATACTCATCCCAACTCACATGAATATTTAGAATAATTTTTTGCACACGTTTTTGTTTGAAAGATGAAATTGGAGTAGCAACCAACATTGTAGATGGCAAACAGCAGTAACATACAGGTAGAGAATCTTCATAGAATATAGTGGGTGCTGTTCTGGGCACTACATGCCAAAAGCAGACCACTAAGATAAACCCATGATTGTATAGTGTTAAAATAATTCAAATAACTTACTATAACAAAGAGCCAAACAAAAGATGTTCACACAGTTTACCACACAAATTTCATGCAAAGTTGACGTTACGTACCATTACAAAATGAAATTTTAACCTGATTATCTCCAACATATGCAATATCAAAATCTCATATTGTCCAAGAAAATATACACTAACAAAGCATGATAATATTTTAATGTGATGTATGATCAATCTACTAAAGCACAATAAAAATTATTATACTATAGCCTATCCAATATATAGACAATAAGATTGGATAGACAAAAAACGAAATAGGGTTTAAAATACCACCCGCTATGGTATGATAGGGCAGTATTTACTGGTCCAATAGTTCTACCAAATATGCAGACTAGGGTAAACTCAGGCGATACAATCGATACAGGCCTATATTGTCCGGTACATGGCCTGTACTGCTTGATATGCTGGGTATAGGGCCTGTACCACCTAATATAGGTTGATACATGTATGGTACCATGAAGTTTCCATTTTATTTTGTGAGTGTACCGAGTGCCAGTACCGGCCCAACTCGGACTGATACAGCATCGGTACATGAAATTATGCACCTCGAAACAAAATATTATAAAGTTGGGTTGCGCAGCCACTATCCGAATATAGGATAGAAGCAGGTAGTCGTTTTATGGCTGCTATCATTACGAAACAAATTAAGGTCTCATGATATATTAGCATAGTGCTTAACTGCAATAGTGGCTGTTTTTTAACACATTGCATACAACAGCATGCAAGATCCCAACTTTTAGGCAGTTACATGGAACTTTTCCTGCCAGTAAAGTAATATCACTAGTCAAACTTAAGTAATACAGAAAAGGTCCATGTAAAATTTATAAAAGTCTCAAGTATTGTGAAACTGGCAAACTATCAATGGACTTGGACATGCTCGCAAACAATCAAAAATGCTATGCTACTATGCCAACCATGCTTTACTAATACCAATATTTGGAAGTTAGAAAACCACACATACAGAAGTATATCATACAAAGACACTATAAAATTTACAAAAGGACCACATTTGATGGACAGGCATAATTTAAGTATCTCGAATGAAGATCCCATATAATTTACAAAAGGGGCTTACAGTAAGTATATTGATCAAAAACAGATAACGCAAAGATTCGTGTGGTTCTGCCTTTGGATGGAGGAGTTAGAAAGTACACCGAGGATGTTCCTAATAAGCATGTTGGCAAGAGGTGCAGATACTGCAATAAGTCAGTTTCTAGCCTAAGTTTATTAAAATTTAATCAAAGTTGAACAGACATTGAATATATGATACACACAAGACACAACATTGTGTTTATCTAACCTAAGAAATAAATTAGGCAAAAACCTCAGTTTCAACTTTCCAGTTTTTATTTCATGGTGAACTTACAAAAGAATCTACACAAAAAAGAGAAATACATGGTTTTGTAGATATGTTAGAAATGGCAGGACATCTTTGAAAATAAAATGCTTTGAGGTGAATTATAGCAATAAACAAAGAATGATAACAATTATAAGACTTAGCAATTACTTACATAAATTGTGAAGTTATGACAATTACCAGCTCATTCGTCAATGTCACTGATAGGTTTTTCTGAAATGGAATGCATTGATCTATGAAAGAGAGATTGGATGCACCTCCAAAAGATCCATACAGTACAAACTTTGACACTACAAGATAAAATGTATTTCTTAGATATAATCATTCCAGGGAAGGTAAGGGGCTCTCAGTCTACCCCGCAGAAAGATAGACCACACTGAGACAACATCAAAATCCTATCATTTATGGTTATCATTCAAAAAGGCTTGCAGGCTTAAGGGAAAAGATCCAATAACTTGCAATCAATTGTCTCTTTGCAAGAGCATGAAATTGTCTTTTCTTGGGACATGTTACTGTAATACTTTAGAATATTGAACATAACTGCAATAACTTGAGAAAACTCAAAATTGATTTCATAATTTAGTCAAAACCTTCTAATTTTAGTAGGACTAGTGAACGCAGATGTTTAACTAGGACCATACATGAATCATCCAAATGGATGCCTGAAACATCTGGAATAGGAGGACTGCCACCTCTGAAGCATACCAAGGGAAGGTTACTCTTTGGATATTGTTTTGCTTGTTCCTTGTCCTGTAAGGTTTGAGGCTATAAATTAGTCAACAAAATATCATGATATGAATCAAAATGCTCAGACACATCAGGAAGATTGAAAGAACATACTCAAGTATAGCATACAAGACTGGATGTCATATAAAACAATAGACAATAAAGACTGTAGAAAGTATGTCGTCAGATACCTTTAGTGCCCTACATCCTTTTCCCCTTAACATTCCATATGCATTCTGATGTAAATATTAAATAGTATCATGAAATCTGTAGATAACACTGCTGCCGCTCACTGTTTGAAATGCCAACTTCTCAACAATGGATTAGCTCATTAGGCTTTTAATAAAGAGGCAGCAAGTGTCCATGGTCTAGCAAAGGAATTTAACAAATCACATATGCAGAAAAATAGACCTGCAAATTCGACTATCTTATAGTGGGCCTATAGTGTGGAGCCCTTTCAAGTAATAAATCTTTCGGTTGTGTGTTATTTTAATGTGAATGTAAGCAAAGCCTACTATCTTATGTCATGATAGATAAACAGAAAGAAGAAACATAAAAGGATAAAAGGGCAGAAAGAGAAAAAGGTAGAAGTTCACAAGAACATATGAAGGATTGGCTTCACTTGTGAGCAAAAGAATTCACAGTTGTTTATCGCCTTTTGTTCCCAAAACTCATGATGGAATTCTTTGGAGGTAGTTTACTTTAAGTTGATTTCCTAAACTATTTTAATCAAGGTATGCAATACCGTACCGTACCGGTGTTTAAAGGTTGGCTCGGTATGGTATGGTACCATGTACCGAGCGGTACGCCAGGGCGTATCGAGCGGTACACCTAATTTGGGTGTAAAACCCTCCGAAAATACCTGAAAATAAAAAAAAATTAGGATAGGGTTTTTAAGTTAGAAATAAATATAGTAATAGCATAAGTTTAGCAAAAAATCAATGTAAATTAGGCAAGAATAGTATCACATATCTTTTTCGGGTTTTGAAGAATATATTGTGCAAGGTTCGTATTTCAGTCCATTACGGATTGTCCTTATGTAAATATTAAAATATCTACAGAAAAATTATTTGAATTGTTAGACTATTTTGTTACAATATAAACTCTAAAATTCAAATGAATTAAATAATCATATATATATATCTACCTGATTACTGATTCTACCACCAAAACGAACGACAGGCCTCCATGGGTGGTTGATCGGGGTTCTCGATCCTATATATCTGCATATCAATATGATATATTTGTTGGACTCAATCATGAAATTGATCGCATGACATAATGTATTGATACACCATTTGTCATTGATGCATCAATGTGGTGCTGATCGTCATGAATTATATTTATCTCTTGAGGCATATATCGGTGAATGTCAAAGCTTCTACTTTCGCTACTGATCTACTGCTATGTATCATACTGTTGCTCAAATAAGGATAACCAACTATCGTCATATTGTTGTTGCCCGTATGATTCTCCATAATACGATGGCTGTGAATACGATGAACTTCTTTCTGTGTCTATATCATGTAGGTTGTGTCTATGAGAAAGGGCTCCAATGGTCAATTTGACCGTTGGAGCATTATAGCACTGTTATAGTGCGGTAATGGTCGATTTCAATCGTTACCGAGTTGTATCGGGCGGTAATGGTCGAATTTCGACCATTATCGCCCAATATTATCTTGTATCGTCCGATACGGGGCGCTTTTAAACGTTCCACCCGATAGCGAGCGGCCCGCGTACTGGTATACCGTCGAACCGATACGAACCGCCCGTACCGGGTGGTACCTTTCGAAAATGCATACCTTGATTTTGATAACTCTTGACGTTCCATCATCTCTCAGAAGATAAATATAAATAATTTATGCCAAGAGTATCTCAGCATTCTTCAAGCCCAAAGATTCATGCTCAGAATAATGTGAACTTCTGACAAACCTGTTCTGCAATGTTATGGTTAAGACATGGCCTTCAGTTCCATCTGTCCAACTGCATGAATCAAACTTAGCATCTAGCTTCCAAGTTTTTCTTCACTGGTACATGCTTAGAGTGAATCTTACCTTTTAGTGCTGGTTACATGTACCAGGGCGATTCCATAGAATTTTAGAGTATGGACAACACTTGCCCACAAAGTTCAAAAATCTATGGAAAAACGTGGTCGTGAGCAATTAAATGGACTCCCACGATGTACTTGCATTTGAAGTTATATCAACCAAGAAAAGGTGAATATATCAGTTGATGAATTTGTCTCATCCCAGGGCTAGTGTATCATCGGTATATCCTAGAACAAAAAGATCAAAGACATCGCACAGCTCCCATAAATCAATTTGTATATGAAGTTCTGTCTACCAAAAACTAAATCTAATAGTCAAAGTCTCATATCTGATGACCAAACCAGAATCTCATAGTAGTTCCATTACCCAATACAAATTCACCGACTTTGAAGCTAATTTATATTTCACACTCCAACATTGCTCCAGATAAAGCAGAAGACTAAACACTCGTCATGGGGACTTTGGCCTGCAATGCAAGTATTTTTCTCATGCCAAGATGTTCCATTGGTAATTCTTTTCTGCAAAATAGGATGTCTTATTTTATGAAGTAGAATAAAAAGAGGCAAAAATAAGATGGAGAGATATATGGTAGGTTCAACCCTTCTAGAAGCTATTTTGATATAGGAAAGTTTTTCCACATGACTAACAACCCTCTGATGTGAGAATTCTGCATTGTCATATCTCAATCAAGTCTGATGGGAATAATATTCCATAACTCTTGTTTTATTGTGTAAAAATAAGCACAAAGTCCTTAGGTCCAAAAAAATGAATGTCTGATGGTATTCAAGGCTCGATAAATTTTAGGCTGATTAAAAAGCTGACATCTGTCTTTTGGATGGAAGAAATAATGAATATAACTTCTACCATTTCTTGAAACGGTAATGTTATACCCTCCTGGAGCCTAGGAAGCACGGACACATGCTTTTGGTAGACATGTCTATGTCTAACACATGTTAGACACATGGACACGGTCCACAGACACACATGCCAGACACTCGCGTGCAATGCTACATTTTCGTGGCCCTCACATGAGGGTCATAAATTTCGCAAGAAAAGAAATCTAGAGATCGTCGCAAGGAAATATATATCAATTCTATCTAGAGATTGTTAAATATTATTTGATGTACTCAACCTTTATTTTCGATACTTAAATCTAGATTATTTTAATTATTTTAACATGTATGATGATATTTATTTGTTCAAATTGTTGAGTTCATAAAATTTTAAGTATAAATACTATAAAACTCATGTTAATCAAATTATATATATATATATATATATATATTAAAAATACACGTGCTCTCGTTTTGTTCGTGCCCTATTTTTTAAAAAAAAATGATGTGTTGCCATGTCCGTGTCGTGTCGTGTCGTGTCGTGTTGTGTCCATGTCCCATGTTTGTTTCTGTGCTTCTTAGCCTGGAGCAACCATCTTTAGTTATGGTTCCATGAATTTCTTAAAGGGGAACAAATCATATACATAAGCGCTATTCAAAATCAGTCAACAGAAGTCTGGAGAGTAAAGCTCAAAATTGTACTAACAGCTAAAATACAAGAGCCAAACTTGAAGCTTATAATTGATTTCATACTAATTGCAACTTGCTTATGCATTTGAAGGTGGTGACATTATAGAAATCAGCATGAAAAGAATCAGGAAAGTGTTGCTACTGAGAACTTTAAAATTAGTTTTATGAAGGTACACAACTATGCAAAAGTTTGAAAAATAGTTAAAACCAGCATAACAACAGTAAAGTAAGTGAAAATGACTAACTTACAATGTTAACATTGGACACAAAATTGATGGCCATTGATGAGAACCAAGGCGGCAGCTCAACTGCAATGAAGTATATATATAAGGTTCAGATATATACAATTGCAGTACAGGGATCAAAGGTTTTGATTCTGCAATATAGAGGCATGGTTGTAAATTTATATATGAACTATGACATGTGCCAACAAGAAAAGGTTTGTATCACATTCTGGGACGTCGAACAACATCTTTGAATGCAATCCACAAAAAAAACTTGCTTGCTCACTGAAGAAATACATACACAAGATAATATTCAACCATTAGCTGTGGCTAAAGATAACTAAATTTATTTCGTAGACTTTGTATTTGGTTGGATGTCAACTTAAACCCTGGGAGATATCTATAACCAATGAAAAGCCCCACAACATGAGATCAAGCCTGACAAAAGGCTTGGTTGGAGAAGCGGACCATGGAGCACAGTTATCCAATAGCATATTTAGTATAAGAGAGGCCAACAAAATAATATGTTGTTGGGAATTGAGTATGAATGACAAATCACATTAAAGGAAATAAGAGATAGATTAGTTTAATTAAACGGTAAGGAAGAGAATGCTCAAGGCAGAAGAAGGCAAGAGGGGGGGACGAAGGAATGCCTAGAGTAAGATAAGTGTGGATGATTCTACATGAAGAAAATTCTCAAGTCATTTTTAAGTGTTGATGGTCTTGCAATGGAGAACCAACAAAGAGTAACATAGGACGTGAATGAGAGATCTTCAAGGAGGAAGGAAAAGGAAGAAAGGAGTAACTTTTACATTAAGTTGGAAAAGTTTGAGTAGCAAACTGAATGCATGAATGTATTCATTGATTCAAACTGGATCAGTTTAAGCTCAAGTAGGGTTGGACTGCTCAACATCTCAACCCAAGCCTCTCCCAGATAAGGCTGGATTGAGCTTTCTTGACTTGAACACTACTTTTAGACTCAGAATACTCAAACCCAGCACACCTGAAGTTCAAGTTGGACTCAAAATGTTCCAACCCTGCAATTACATATCCACACACACAATTTGAGCCACTAATCTGCATCATGTGATGGTAAAACCAGGTTACCTCAGATATCTGCATCATTTAAGCAAATTGAAATGAATGATTCTACAATTCTGGACTCAGGCACTCAAAGTGGAGTTTGCTTTCAGCATAACATTAGGTAAGGCTCATCATTAAAATGGTAAGATGTACATAAAGTGGGCATGTGCTTAATCCTTGTCCGGTGAACATGTTCTACCATCCCCCAAAATATCTGGATCACTTACAAATTCACTAAAATTAATGACCATCAAAATACCAAAGTGGCAAGACGCTTTTAACTTTTAAAGTTAAATATGAGGCGTTAAAATCTTGCACCTACGTATGCATTCAGAAGAAGCATTCAGTGCCAACTATTTTGCCTATTTACTTTCTGATGGTTCCAAAAAGAATAGTCATTCAAGATAACATCAGTCATTAAGAAAGATTTGGTCCATGATGTCATTATAACTAAAGACAAGTAAATAAGTACTTGATGTCAAATCATGAATGCACTGTTCAGAGCAAAGATCTTCTAAATAAAATCCTGGAGTGGAGACAAATGGTTGAAAAGAGAAAAATCATGGACTAGCTAAATTTCCTATGGTTTCTGATAATATAAACTACATAACCAGAATTGAAGTGTCAACACGTCTAACGTAAGTGCTACAATTGAAGAACCAGATAGACACAGATCAAAGTTTTTTCATATTTGTGAATCAAAAATAAACAAAATAAGATATATAATTCCGCTACACATCATCGTCCAACTACACAAGTGAGTTGAAGTGAGAATTTTCACCAAACCCTTAAAGTCGTTGCTAGAATCACAGGATGCAAGTTACTCTTTAGAACATCCGAATCTTCTCTATGTACACCAAAGTAGTAGCAAAACTTAGCCAAAATAAACAAGATTTCTTGTCAGAAAGAGGAAAAAGAAACAAAGAAAACCAAAGAAAAGCACACAAGATCAGAGCATCTTCTTTTAAGGACAATAAAATACTTCGGGCAAGTAAATAAATGTCGATGGACCTCAATCATATCAAGAGCATGAGCAAATTGAAAATATCGAGCTGATCGACACCAAGAGGCTCTTTTTTGTTCTCCCACAGAGGATTTTAGGAAGAACTACGGAAAACCTAGTACTCCGTTCCCGGTTATACGGCTTGGGGCGGGATTAGAGATTCGGAAAAGGTAAAGAACGTCAGAGAATTAAATAAAATTCGCCAACTAATTCCCTGGTATAAGATCCCCCTTCGAGCTTCAATTTTCCACTTAAAAGCCAAAACAAATATATTGAGCGACAGAAGAAGAAACTCCAACGAACAAAACCCATTCACTCTTCCGGAAAAAAGAAACTCTCGTCCAAGAACCAACCGCCAAAAACCCGCAAGAATGTCCAAGAACCGACCACCAAAACCCCATCAAGAACCGATCTTTTGATTCAAGAAGCCCCCAGTCACCGATTCCTCCAAAGCGTTCTCGACAGTCGGCAATGATCCCATCTTTTACATCAAGCAATCGAAACCGACAAGGGAGGCCGAGGCAACCAACTTCATTCATCTTTTCTGCTTTCAAGAAACAACGGGAATCATACCTCGCAAGTACGTCCAGTCGTAAGGGCCGAGCCAGACCTTAGGACGGCTGAAGCTGGAGACGACGGAAGGCGCTTGACAGGCCGAGAAGCCCACCGTTGCCATTGCCCACGAGCAAAGGAGCACCAAAAGGCGGAGATTCAAAGCAGCCATCGGGGAGAGAACAAAGTAATGGAAGAGATCGAATCGTGTCCTCCTTTACTTGGTTCCCTCTTTTGGCCGAAGATTCACGATGATTCCTAAGAGAAGAATAAGAATCAAGAACCTTGCGATCGATCCCTGAGAGCAGCGGAGGGAGGCAGACAGAGAGAGAGAGAGAACCCAGACGAATGTCCGCGCCAGGAGAGCTATGTGGTCAGTCCTCCGCGGCGGGCGTGAGGTTTCCCGTTGCGGGCGTGGAATTCGACATTGCCGTGGACCAAATAATAATTTGATACGACAGCCACGGACGACGACCGGTGTGTTCTACAACTCAACCTCTCAAGTCACGACTCCCGCGGTGGCACGTCAAGATGTGTTCTACGCTCTTATGGCCCTTCGGATGTGCGCCACGTCACATATAAGATTGCCCAAAATTAGGAAAATAGTATCTTTAAATTAGAAAGAATTGCCTCTGCCGCCAGCGACTCACGCAATGTATCAAGTTACGACAACCGCAGCGTGACGTTAAGATGCGTGCAACGCCCTTCTTGCCCTTCGGATGTGCGCCACGTCCCACAGATTGGTCTAAAATAAGGAAAATAGTATCTTTAAATTGGAGATAATTGGTGCTACCTACCGCGACTCACGCGACGCCTCAACCAATGCTGCCACATGAAATGTATGTATTACATACTGTCAGCTAATTTATTATCAGCTAGAGATTTATTTTTCAAAAAAATATTAAAATATTTATTAAAGTGTCATATTGAAAATATTATTTTTGAGTACTTTAAAAAATAATATGGGATCCGGGCTTTCTAAAATTGCATCAATTATGATTCTCTCATTGAAATCATTTTATCTATATTATTAATATTTAATTCTCATGCCAATCTCGAAAAGAATGAAAACATATTTTAACTTTTTATTATTGTAAACCATTTTAACTTTTTATTATTGTAAACCATTGAAATAGTCTATTATACTAATACATATTTTAATAGAAATAAATTTGAACAGTGGAAAGGAACTTTTTCAAATATTACTCCTAATCCTTGATGTATCAGAGGCTTTTCATGGAAACAAAAAATAAATGGATCGGGTGATGGGTAGCAATCGAGAGTCCATTAAATTAAGTTAGTGTTAAAAGTTCCACACGTGTGTTCCCCTTGAATTCGTGGTGGAGCATTGAAGCACGTAGCACGATGAATCATTGGTGGAAGATGAAGCGGTAAATCCTAAATGGTTTACTTGTGTCTTGAATTAAATATAGTAGCAAAATAAATAAATAAATATAATAGCTCGAATAGGCCCATCATCTGCTCACCCAAATTGTTCCATTTGACCCTAGTAAAAATAAGATTTATCTTAGGATTATATATAAATCAATTAAAATAAATAAGGAACAAATGTATCTTAAGGATGGTCTACCTTTGGATTTATATCCAAAGGCTAAATATTTTGGCTATGAAATAAAATTAATAATTAACAAAAAAAACATGTGACTAACGTTAATAGTTATCGTTAGCGCTTTGGCCCTACACTTTAAAAAATTATATTAGCATCCTTATAATTACTAAAATGAAACATATATATCCATTTACCAACGGAAACACCAAAATAAAAAATAAAAAGATAATTTTAACGTTCGATGGTAGATGGCGATGCCATTGGCGTCGACACCAACGCAATTGTCTGGTCACCTTTGACGACAATAAGGTTTGCTCTCACCATGACGCCACCCTCTTCACGAGGAGGGCATCATTGACCTCATCGCCACTTGCCCCATGCCACTTTGTATCTACGTCAATATTGATGTAATTGTCGTTCAAAAACTACAACAATGTTGACATAGATGGTGGTGGCTGCTCTCTATTTCCCTGCACCTTTGTCATCTCGTTCTCTTGTGAGTAGTGTTATGGAATCCCCAAATCCCTCTCTCACCCTACTATAGTTATGGGTGCCTCTACCCACCCCTCCCTCGACCCGTTCACGGCTCCGCTCGCCCTCTATTCTAATGACCTCTCACACTATGGCAATGATGTGGACGAGCTTTGGTTAGTGCCTGACATCACACCATAAAGGGCGGCATCCATCATCGATCAGTTCTGGCTCTTCGACTTGTATGGCTCTTGTAATGTATCATGCTCCGTCGTGAATACCATAGTCCACCTCCATTGGACCAGGTCATTAGGTTTCCTCGGTTATCTATTCGGCCCAAACAATATCTTACGCATCCGTGTCGATACCGACCTAGATGTAGAGTAGCGAAAGATGGTGTCGGAACTAATCCAACAATAGGGGGAGCGATAGGAGCTCCGACGACCTCAACTTCAAGTGGTGGTTGGGATCCACCTAATAAGTCAATGGTGAGAAGGCCACCATCTTCGTCGTAGATGCTCGGCAACTGCATCAACATCAACGCAAATACAGAGTGATATGAGACGGGTGACGATGAGGTCGATAATATGCTCCTTATGAGGGCGAGTGGTGTCATGGTGAGAGCAGACCTTATTGTTGTTAGAGGTGGCCAAGCAACTATGTCGATATCAACGCCAACGGCATCGTCGTCAGCCACCACCAATGTTGTTTGTCACCAAACATTAAAATTTTCTTTTTTTCTTTTTTTTATGTTTCTATCAATAAAATTAATGTCGTTAGGATAAATGGACCTAAATATTTTACTTTTATAACTATAGGGATGTCAATATAACTTTTTAAGATGTAAAGATCGAAACACTAAAATAACTAACTATAGGGGATAATATGTAATTAGTCTATTTTTTTGTTAACCTTTTATAATATATGTTACACTAAGAACATAGATAACATACACTAGCACGCAGGTGAGACTCAAAATTTTAATTTTTTTTATTTTAAAGTATGTATATATGGTTTTTATTGTTATAAATAACAGTAAAACTATAATGTGTGGAAACTTGGACTTCAAAACTAGACATAAAAATAAACGGTCCATCCACTAATAGTAAACAAAAGGAAAGATCTTTGTCTCTATGTGGGATTACATTTTTCCTAAGTACTTGCATGCACAACAGCTGGGATGATGTATAGGTGATAGAGAATATTCAGCACCTGTCATAGTTTACCGGTTGAGCTAATGTGGAAGATAGCTCAGTATCCGTTTAATGCAAAAAAGGGCTGAAATAAGGGGCGATGCTCCCTCGATCATCCCTCACTAGCTTCGTGCCACATGGGATTGCATGAATCGACGTTGCGCTATAGGAGCATAAACAAGTCGACCCGCATCACAAGGGGTGTACGATTCAGTCGCTCACATGATCGCATCGCAGAGAGATACAATTGATCCTCATCAGCTATAGCCCCCTCTTGACGACTCCATAGGTATAAAGGTTGATCCTCAATCCC